CAAAATATCACCATGTTTTAGCCAGCATAGAAAGTGAGGTGCTTGAACGCATTTCCGATTTCGTCTTAACCCCGCCAGGGTCAAATAAGTACGAACAATTAAAAGACAAGCTGTGCAGAGAATTCACGGACTCGCAGGAGCGCCAGATTAAAACGCTGTTGAATGAATTCCAATTAGGCGATAAGAAATCCTCGCAACTTCTGAGGGAGATGAAAGAGTTAGCAAAGGGAAAAGTAGAAGACGATTTTCTTAAAACTATGTTTTTGAAGCACCTGCCAACACAGGCCAGGTCTATCCTTTCCGTAAGCACTGATAGCTTGGAAAAATTGCCGAAATGGCCGACAAGATAATGGATCACATTCCTTGTACAGTAGTAGCTGAAGCAGCATCTTCAACTTCAGTACAAGATGCCATCGCAAAATTACAAATCCAGGTTAGCGGGCTTTCAAAACAGTTGCAGCATAAATCGAGATCCAGGTCCGGCTCAAGAAGTAGAAGCTCCAAGAAACGTGACAAGTGCTGGTACCATTTTAAATTTGGGGAGAAGGCAACCAACTGCATCCAGCGTTGCAACTTTGCCCATCCGGAAAACTAATACTCGCATCGGAATCGGCGGCTACCGATGCGATAAAAACTGCCGTCTTTTTGTAATGGAAAAAGTGTCAGGAATTCGTTTACTGATCGATACCGGCGCAGATGTTTCAATCTTCCCTCCCAGTCGACACGACAGGATGACACCTTCTAGCTAATGCAGCTAATGGCTCTCTTATCAACACTTATGGTGAACACCTCATGGAATTAGATCTCAATTTTCGAAGAACTTTCCGATGGCCATTTATCATTGCGACACAGACAGGCCAGCGGACTTCCTCAAGCAATTCGAATTACTGGTCGATCTGAGACGACAACAGCTGATCGACGTCAACACTGGTATCACACGCCGAACTAAACCTGATATTTCCCTCATCCCTTCTCCAAGAATATCCACCCTTATGTGTTCAGATGACAAATTAAAATCTATATTTTTACAGTTTCCGAATATTGCAAAGCCAGCATCTACGATTGTGAAGAGTATCAAGCATGATGTAACCCATTTAATTTCAACGCAGGGTCCTCCAGTCACAGTCAAGGCTAGGAGATTGCCACCAAATAAACTTTTCGCAGCCCGTAGAGAATTCCAGCATATGGTTCTTCCAGTAAATGTTGCAAAATGTTGCTGTCCAAGAACATCTCGACAAGTTCAACTGGAGATTTATTGGCATATTCGGAGTAATTTGGTAGGGGGAATGTCGCCGTTTTCATCAAATCGCCATCTATCCATGTTCTTTTAACAACAGGCTTCTTTTTCTTCACGGACTTATTTTTTTTTCGCTTCATTTTCCTTTTTCTTTTTCTTTGTAGGTTTCTTTTTATTCTTGTTCTGTCTTGAGTTTGCAATTTTTCTATCAACCACTTCATTTTCCTCAGGCTCCGGATCCGCCTGGCCGTTTTCCTCCACTACCCCCTCAGTTTCCTCATCTTCATGGAATTCTTCCAAGTCTTCTTCCTGGGCTTCCTCAAAACCGCTTATACGGGCGTTATTAGAAAAGCAAACCTCGGCTTCAGCTGATAACTGCCTTCCAGACAAATTATCCACATCGCCACCATCGTCTTCATCTGTCCGCACATTTGACTCCGGGGGTGCCATAAAGATATCCGTAACCTCGTTTCCGTCATCGTCATTATTGAACACCATTTCCAAAGCTTCTTGTAGGGAAAATCCGCTGCTGCAGAAAAATAGACAATTGTATAGATATTAGGCTAGTGTCACCATATGGTTACACCTGATTTTGTAATCAAATACCTTCTATGCAAAAAAAAATCACGGCAATATAATATCAGACAGTGAAGATCACATATGTTGCCGTGATTTAGCAGGAATAAGAATTATAGTTAGTGAGATTATGTACGGAAATATTTGTACTTACACAAATCTGGGTTCCATATTTTATAACAAATAAAAGAGTGTCAAACAATTTCCTCTCCAGAACACACACGAATAGTAAACACACAGCTGTTTCACTGTTTGTTAACTTATTACGATATAATGAACAAAATCCGCACTGTGTTTAAGGAGTTTCGATTAAAATGTCGTCACATTGGCTGATCGACGCGACCGCTGCTCTGGTGTGACCATACGGTAACTACAGCAATTGGCAAAATTTGGATTTTTAGCAACAGCCTCAGCGTGCATCAATCGCTTTCGGTAACTTTCCCGTTGGATGTGAAATTTTGCGGCTGTAGTATTTAATTGTGTAACCATTTTATAAACTATTTGACAATTAGGTGTTAGTTGAATTTGTCTGGTCACATTCACAGCTTACAAAATCCTTTTTTTTCTTTTTTATAGGGTAAGGTTGCCTGTATTGTACCACTTTTCAAAAAAAATGCTTCTAAAGACTAAAAAAATGGTTAGCAGCTTATGAAAATTTTCTATTATTTTGTTTAATATATTTTCCACAAACAGTATTTTTTTCGTAATTTTTACCGCTTTAAAAATTGAAAAAAATTTGATTTTTATAAACCTTTGCAAGTGGTACAATTTAGGACACGGGTTTCCTAAATTGGACCATGCAGTTTCCTAATTTGTACCATACAAAAAGTATTACAACAAAGGCAAAGCAGAGAAAAATGTATTTTATTGTGTAAGAAAATTTTATTACTATATTAAAAAAATGCTTGAAAAAGAACTTAACGGAACTAAGATTTACAAATGTCACAAGTATGATCGGGAGAAACAAAAGCAACACAGGACTCGTGAGACCACTTCTGGCATTTAATGCACTGGATCATATTCTCCACTCTGCATTCATCGCACATTTGACAGTACCACTCCTCTGCGTTTATCTCAATTACGGCATCGACCATTTTGGTTCGTTTAGATGATTGTTTTGCAGACATGCCTGATGTGTTCGGCTTGGGTGAGGTTGAACCAATTCTTCTCCGTACAGAACAACGCTTATCTTGACCAGAAACAGATGCACGAGCTTCCAGTTCATCTTTATATGGGGTAGATGTTAAGGTCTGTGATTTTTGCGGTCCTTTGGACTTGCGATTATTTCGTACTTCTTTTACATTAGGCATAGGAATTATGTTTTCAAAAGAAATGTGCACACGAGGCGATTGCATCTGCTTCACAACTTCAGAAAGGGGAATGTCGCCGTCATTGTCACTTGTGTCGGAATCTTGATGAGAAGTGTTATTGACCTCAACTCCATTTGAAGTCGAGACTTCCTGTAAGGCAAGTGAAGGTGCAAAATCAACATCGCGAAAGACGTTTCTGTCGACGGGCCATATCCCACATTTTCGAAAGCCGTTTATGGCATTAGCAATGGTTGCTGCCCTTGGATAGGCCTCACCAAGAATCTGCGCAACTTGAAACTGCGTCACTCCTAACCCTGCATGTTCCCTCATCCATTTTTCAACAGCTTGGTTGTAATATCCCTCCAATGGCTTGAACACCGCTACATCGAGGGGTTGCAGTCGATGCGTGGTGTGCCCTGGTAACTGTAACATAATAACTCCATGTTGTCTTGCTAACTGCACGGCCTTAAGATTCTTGGAGTGAGTTGTGTGCCCATCAAGCACTAACACAACTTTACTGTCAATAGACGGCTTAACAACGTCAATAAATCCCTGCAGCCACACCACAAACAGATCTGAGTTAATGTAGCCGGTGTCAGAAATGACGACCATACATACAACCAGGTGGTGCTCCCATTCCAAGCTCAGGCATCATTCTTTTTCTCTTAAAAATGATCATAGGCGCAACATATTGCCCAGATGCGCTAGTACAGACAACCATAGTTGTATTTACCCCCCTTTCACCGCTGGCTATTGCTCCTACTTAATGTTTTCCTTTTCTGGCAAGAATTTTTTGACACTTCTTTTGCACAGTAGAAAACCCACTTTCATCAACATTAAATATTTTAGTTGCATCCAAACGGTTTTCGTCTACTAGTTTCTCCAAAAGATTAATGCCATTCGGGATACTCTATTAAAGCTGTGATTTATGTTATTTTGCTCAGCAAAGTCAAAAGCAGCTTTACGGATATCACGAATTGTCACGCCATAAAAGCTCTCCTCCAATTTTAATATTTGATCCTCAAGCTGGTTTTCGATCTCAGCACTAAAAACTGTAGACCGACCTAACGCTTTTACGCCTTCTTTGGATTTAACATTGGACGAAGCTAAATGTCTTTTTAAGGTAGGCTTGGGGACATTGTACATGGCACAGATCTGATTAAGACCAAATCCCCCTGTTTTGTATTTTATTAACGCCTCTTTCATATCCATTTCTGACCATTGGCCATATTTCATACCCTTTCGGCTCATTCTGAAAAAGAAAGTTTCGTAAATTGTACCGGTCCAATTTAGGCAACTCCCAAATGGTACAAATTAGGAAACCTGCACAATTCTCTATGTGTTTACGAACTAATCGTCAAAGAATGAGGTTAACCCACATACTGATAGTACAAAATGGTGTTAAATGATTAGTTATTCAGTAGAAATACACTGGGAAAAATTATTTAAAATTACATCGTAATTTTGAGCAAAATTAGGAAAAATTACTGCCGGTCTAACGGAAATATTCTCATGATAAGTAAAACCACGGACAAATTAAGTAAATTTACACGGACTATATAACTTTCCACCACATGTAGGCTATCCTAAACTCGTTTACGCGTAAGCGGTATTACAAAAAGGAATTTTGTTACGTAGCGCCTGAGCGAATTAATTTAGGAGTTTATCACGGTAAATACAAAAATCACGAAAGATTTTTTTACTACATTCCTATTCTAAAGACCTTGGCTGTACTCTTGAAAAACAAATCTATTTTAAAATATTGTTTAACTCCAAAAGTAGTAAAGAAAGAAAATATTTTGAAGGACTTTACAGACGGCTTGGTTTTCAAAAACAATAAATTTTTTAAAGATCATCCGACGGCTCTAAGAATTATTATGTTTCAAGACACATTTGAGCCTTGCAATCCGTTAGGTTCTTCCAAAAAGAAGCATAAAACGTTGGGTGTTTACATGATTCTAGGCAATTTGCCTACATATTGGTCCAGAGTTGATAATATATTGCTGGTTGCATTGGTAAAAGAGGCCGATATAGAACATTATGGAATGTCTGCAATTTTTGACGTAATTGTTAGGGATTTACAAGTATTGGAGTCATTTGGTTTAGAACATGAAGGTCAGATTTTCAAGGGTGCTTTATTTGCAATGTTAGGCGATAATTTGGGTAGCCACCAAATCGGTGGTTTCTCAGAAAATTTCAGTACGTCGTCATATACGTGCAGGTATTGCTACATTGAAAAAAAGAATATTAACACAGTTTTAGAAGGTTTCAAATTACGTACAAAACAAGCGTACGAATCAGACTTAGATATGAAAATGATGATAAACGATAACCAATATAAGGGGATAAAAAGTAATTCTGTGTTAAATTCTTTAAGTAACTTTCATGTTTGCAATCCCGGTTTACCTCCATGCTTAGCCCACGATATTTTTGAAGGTGTCGTCCAATATGACTTAATGATAGGTTTAAATGATTTAATAAAGAAAAAGCATTTTACATTACAAACCTTGAACCACAGATTTCAAAAATTAAAATTATGCAATAGCACTACCGTGAACCTTCCTCTTTTTAAAGATAAAAATGATAAACTACCAGGGACTGCTCATGAGAATATGCTCTTTTTACAGTTATTACCTTTTGCAGTATCTGATTTAATAAACGATTTCGAGGATCCGACTTGGCAGATGATCTTATTATTAAGAAAACTTACAAACATACTTTGTAACAATACGGTGAATTGCTTTGATAATTTATAAAGATATTCCCAATTTCTTTATATCAATTTTATTGTAATTGGTTTCTAATCTGATCACAACCTGATAAATACAAATATAAACTCTTATCTTTAAACAATTTGGTCATTACCTGATACCAGCACAATCTAAACTAAATTAAATTACAACTGCCTAATGGCTATCAAATTTGTTTTCAGACTCTATTCAACAACCACGTTTCTCATGACAATATACATGCAATTGTTTTCGTGCAACTATAAATTATTTTTTAAATTAAATATTTGTTTCCATACAACTTCTAGCTGTTGAACTCTCTTCTGGGCAAGTAGCCTACTTAAAATCTCGAAAGAATACCTTACAGAACGTATTAAAATCTTTCCTAATGCATTATTCTCACCTAATGCTTCAGTTTGGCCCCTTAAAGCATTTGTGGATGTTACGTTTTGAGTCCAAACATAGATATTTTAAAAGCATAGTTAAACATTCTCCCAATTTTAAGGACGTCCTTTATTCTTTTGCTGAAAAACACCAGATGTTACAAGCTCTTCAAGCAAGTCAGCCTTCTATTTTTACGGATAAAGTTATTTCTGAAAATGTAATCGTATACGATAGTAGGTATTACTCAGGGGAATTTCGTTCTATTATACAGAAAAATATGGCTCCTAATAATAATGTGCTATTTCTGTGTAAATGTGCAACGTACAGGGGAGTTAAATTTACAGAAAATTCATATTTTTGTTACCATAGAGATGAATACGGAGATTTTCTGATCCTTAAATTGCATTATATTATTATAAATCAGGACTATTCAAACATGTTTTTAATTGGGCAATCAACTAAACTATCATATGATGGGTGTACAGGCCTATATTACAAATGTTCGAACGGTGACACCAAGGAAAAAATGGTTGGCTGTTTCCATGAACAATTACTGCAACATGAACCACTGTACCATTGTTTTGTAGATACTGCGGATGCGTTTTATTTCAAGTCTGCACCATTAATATATCAATAAATGTATAGAAACTGAATAGGTAACCATAACGTTTATCCGAATGTGCTATATAAAGGGCGATTTATACCGGCAGTCAAAACATAAAAATTGTGTTGTATATGGGATCCTAAACAAAAAATACGAAATATTTTTCCGTTCGGCATATCGAGAAATTAAGTTTTTGTTTATAAAATAAATAAAATTTGTAATACCATGGGAATTGCACTCAGGGCCGGCTCGTCGAAAAAATATGGGTGAGGCAAGCGCTAACTTTGCCGCCCGAATGAAAAGGGCAAAAGGTTTTTTGTTTGTTAATTGGTTCTTTAATACAAGTACCACCAAACAACGAGAAAATTAAATAAAATCGTAGCAAAAAAGGGCGTTTTTTGATCGCTGATAAAAAATTTTCTATGGGGCCGATTTTGTTCGTTTTTTTTATCGACGCAGAATTTTGTTTAATTTAATCAAAAGTGTTATTCATAAAATATGGACCGTTTTCGAGTTTTAAGCGAAAAACTGAAAAAAGTCCGAATATTTTGAGGTTTTTTGGCTGCCAAAAGTTGTGTCGGGAAAAAATTTGTGTGTACTCTTCCAATACATGTTATTTGGACCCAAATGGACCATTTAAAACAATAAAATCTTTTACACCACCTTTTGCAGGTCAAAATTATATAACATACTGGACTATCAGTATTTCAGTAGCAAGTACGATAAACTAATAAAAAAAAAACCATGCTATCCTATTACATATATCGCAAATTAGTGGCCTGGCTATATTTTACAATCGCTTTCAGTAAATTGACATTACAAAGATTTATTATTATACTACATTATTATAATAAAACATTTTTTTATATTTCAAAAATGCCGCCCCTAAAATTATGCCGCCTGAGGAGGCCGCCTCGCCGCCTCACCCCACGAGCCGGCCCTGATTGCACTGAAACAAACGCTACTTATTAATGTGATGAAGAGCAAAATTGAAACCAAAAATTTATTCTTCGTTTAGAATCCCATCTGTAACACGAATTTTCATTTCTCCCCTCCTGGTATAAATCACCCTGTATACATGGTGAGAGACTAAGGTTACAACTGTCTATAGCAAATGTCAAAATATTGAATAATATCTCAAATAAAATTTGTTCGGAATTACTTAAGTGTTTAATAACATAAAAATATTTTCAAAGATGGTGGACATCCGGTTACATGGGAAGTGGACATAACTTTGTTATTCTCAAGGACGTTAAAAATACCTGGACGCGGCATTACCCATCTACTAAATTGAAGTCAACATGTACTTATAGGCGCGGGTGGGATGTTGACTTCACAACAAATCGCGCAATGCCGTGTCCAGGTATTTTGAACGTCCTTGGTTATTTTGTATTATAAATTTTAGTATTTCCCATAAAAAAGCAGTTTATTAAAGATGCATTTGGTCTCAGACGAACCGTTCTGGGGTCTACTTGGAATAGTCAATTGTATCAATAAATGTTATTAAATTTGAAAAGTAAATGTTCTTCTAATACTTGACAGGTTATGTCTTTCAAGAACGAATCGTGGAAACGGTAACCGTCTAAAACCAGAATAATGTAACATTAATAAAAATCGAGATAAAAACTAACCTTTTTTATAGGGAGTTCAAAACTGTAATCATAGAGCGTTTCATTTAAAACGAAGTCTCCACTTCCGATTTCCGATATAACCAGAAGTCCTACATCTTTGAAAATGTTTCTTATTAAGCACTCAATATTGAACAAATTGTATTTGAAATATTCTTCTCTACTGTTCACCGTACGTTGCGGTAGACCGATTTTGTCCTACTCACTCACCGCAGGACCACCGAAAAAGTTCTAAAAATCATATCTTGCAAAGTAGTAAAGAAACAATTTTAATAGCAATTTACTCGATAACTCGACGAGTTTTTTAAGACAACTGTTTAACGGTATTCTGGAATATTTATCACACGGATCTACCTTGTGTTAACAGCAACGATTTCCAGAGACCGAAAATGTGGACGTTAAATTTTGAACTCAGCTATAACCACAAAACGCAAAGTGGTTTCACTTTCTTCATTACTTTGGAAACTATGATTTTTTGAAATGTATGCAACCTTTTTCGGCGACTCTGACATCTGTATATACGTACATACATACAAGAATATTTCAGATTTCAATTATGAACGAAGAAAAAGTTTTTTTTTAAATTTGGAATAACTTCCGAACAAAGAAGTCCATTGTGGTACTAAATGCTGCCGATGAAAATCTGTACGAAAATTTAGTGCTAAGAGGTAAGAAAGAATCTTGTCGCATCTGTTCCATAAATGCATAATTTTTATCTTGTTGCAAAAAAACGAAATTTGGCAACCCATTTCTACCGATTCTACAGATGGCAGCCTACTTGCAAGCACTGTTTCACTGACGTCTAATGCTGAACAGGTACCACTTGTAGAGGAGCCATATTTATTTCTGGAAATACCGACTAATGATGTCGATCCAAAGGGATCGCAAAATTTAAATGACAGCAATCCGGCCGTTCAAGAACTCTCCATACAAAATTTAAACGCACCCGAAAGGCTAATAACGGAAAACTTTTGGAGGACCTTTCAGGTGCCATAGATGATGATGGTGTAGTACTTGGTGATGGTTCAAGTACCCTACTTTTAAAATTAAAAGACCGTAACGACTACAAAAATAGCCTTAAGAGACGAAGTAAACTTTCACCTACTTCAATTGCTAAGAAGACGACAGTTTAGACGAACAGATTGTAAGTCTCAATGAGGGATTTTCAACAATGGACGATAAACGACTCTTTGAATTATTACACAACACATACGAACGACAACGCTTTTATATAAACAATGAGACTCCGTCTATTACACAGCTACAAAAATCGTGGCCTTGTCTGTTGCACGGAAAAGTTTTGTACTGGAATTACAGAAGGTTGATGTGTCAAGATTTAAACCAGTTGGAAGCTGGCATCAACATTAAAATCGAAAGAATGTTGGAATTTGCACGCACTAAAAAATTAGTTAAGAAAATTCCTACTGATATAAATGATCAACATATAGAATTACTGCGAGTGCTAGCAAAGCAATTTAAAGAACGTTTTGAAATGATATTTAAAATTCTTCCGGTAGGTGCTATAAATATTCTTTAAAAAGAAATACAATAAAATATATTTTTTAGGATCGCGGTCATGCAGAAGAAGTGGAATCTTTGAGCCCATGTATTATATTTGCTCAAGGTAGATGATATCCGAAAGTATAATTGATGTTTTTTTTAAAAGTTTGTTTTACAGATGAAAATAAATATATCGTGGTTATTGAAAAAATTCCAATAAATGAAGGATCCGGTTCTTTTATTGGTGCACTCAAAGAATTTTATGCTTGCTTTTTCGTTTTTAATATGAAGTACCCTTCTAAGGCTAACTCAACTTTGGAGGTATTGCAAAGGTACTTCATGAAAACACATCCAGATTCCGGAACGAAGTCTACCACTTACACGAAATCGAAATCTGCTGTGATAAGATTCGTGCAATCTTTTTCTGACTATGTTACGGTAAGATATTGTCATCAAAATTTCATTACCAATTATAATTTAGAGCAGCACTAGCAACAAGTAACGTTACGTCGCGGAGATATAGGACCCTTTGATTTTAAATAACATTTTCATGTTTATTTTGTTTTTAGTATTTTAGTTGTCAAAGCATTCACCATACATGTATTTAATAATGTCTTATATTCATAAAGTTATATGCAGGAAATTACATAGTTTTTTCAAGTTTTCCATATTATATTTTCTATTTCATTTGTAGAAAAAATGTTGTATATAACACTAGCACAACGCTAAGTTATTTTGCGCATTCGTCTGATATTTTGACTCGGCTTCGCCTCGTCAAAATACCTTCAGTCTCAATGCGCGAAAGTGAACTTTGCGCTCTTGTTATAAAATTAACTATTTTGAGAGGACACTATATAAATATAGTCGCAAACATTCAAAAAAAGAAAAAAGACTTTGGATAACATGCAAATAACTTGTATACAAAAAAAGTGTGTGAAAGGCTATTTTTTATTTATCTTGTGCGGCGATTTCACACTTGGGTATAGGTAAAGCTAAAGCCTCTGATGAAACGTCGCACTCGATAAATCTACACTTTCATACACTTTGCAAAAATAGTTATTTACGAAAGCGTAGAAGGCCACACAACAAATTTTATTTCGCATCTCGTCCTCTAGATCATATAGTGTAGTGTAGTTGTTTCAGTGTTCGCGCCACGAAATTTAAAGCCAATGTAAAAACTTACGCTCCCTCTACTTTCCCCTCTTGTCGCGCTTGCAACGGGCTTCATTAGTTGTTTTCGTGCGAGAGTGTACGCCACGCGTTGTTTTGTTTTTACCACTCAACGTTTTTTACCTTATTAGATGGGTCATAAACGGAAAGCTAAAAAGCTAATTCGTAAGCGAAATAAAAGAAGGAGGAAAGATGATCGATTACAGGATATCGCGTATAATATTTTATGCGAATTGCGGTCGAAGCAAGGTCGTGACAGCGATACGGAGGTAGATACCAGTGCTGATTCAGAGCAATCAGCATCAACACCGCGTGCCGGTCCTTCGGAAACAAGTTTTGATAATCGAGATTTATCATCTCTCCTTTACGAAAGTGGTAAGCCTTGTTTTATGTTCCCTGCCTTATCAAAGTACGCAAACGAGTTTTTGTTGTACTTCTTCCAAGCTGGAAAGTAGTTTTCCTTAGAAATTTTGGCCTTCCCAGTAACGTAACAGGTATTCAAACGAGTCTTTGACATACCTGCCGCTACACTTTTAACGAGTTTTAAAAGAAGGTAGCTTGACATAATCTTTCAACAAGTTGAAAGAAATCCTTTTGAAGGCCGTAAGGCTGTAGCTTCTTTAACAAATTTGGTTTTACCACTAATTTAGCAGGTGTTCAAACGAGTCTTTGACATACCTGCCTCTACACTTTTAACGAGATTTAAAAGGTAGATTTGATAGACGTTTTTTTGTCTTTTAAAGGTACAGTGGTACCTTCCTTTTTTCAAGGAGTTGGAAGAGGTTGAAAGAAGGCCTTTGGGCTTTAGTTTATTATTTTTTAGCTACAAATTTGGTAATTGTCTGCTTCTCCTTGTAATTTGGGTTTTGTTTTCTGGATTTAGAAGCAAGCGCAGACGGGGAAAAAGAAAACGTGCCTCCCTCTTCGATTCCGTCAGAATTCCTAACTTTGTTGGGCCAATCCACAGAACCGGCAGTTACCTTACACAATGAACTGCATGTCGAGTTAGTCTCTCGCTGGGAGAGTATCTTGAAATCGGGGTTGGATCCACAAGTGGCCAACGATTTAATATCCAAGTATCCCCCAGCAGAAAACTGCAAGGTCATTGGGGTACCTAAATTAAACCCCGAAATCGAAACCGCCATGACAGAACAACACAAGCAAAGGGACAAACGATTAGCCGAAACTCAGGGACGACTTGCAGCAGCTCTCGCAGCAATCGGCAGGAGTTTGACGATTTTGTTAACTCAGGAGGGGAGCGATCTAGGGCTGACCCTTATTGAGTACCTGAGCGATGCGAGTCGCCTTCTCTCCGATGCTCATCACCAAGAATCCGAGGCTAGAAGATTTTTAGTGGCATCAGGCCTAAATAAGCAATGCCGGGAGACTATTGCTGCAGCTCCTATAGGTGAATGGCTTTTCGGAAATGATCTTACAGAGCGTATGAAGGCTGCGAAGACCCTTGAACGTTCATCAACTGAATTCAAACCTACGAAGCCAAAACCTATAATTAAAAACTTCCCTAAAAGGCAGGGAAATGCGAGGGGTCTGCCTCGGACGCTGAACACATCCAGTCGGGGCAGACCGAAAAACTACATACCACAACTGAGAGACCGCTACCAACAGTTACCCAGAAAATATTATCAAAATCAGTCCCAACACCAGAATCGTCGTTAGTGAAGGTAAACAGGTCAGCCGGAAGATTAAGTTTTTTTGTAAATGCTTGGCGTGGAATAACCCGAGATCCGGTTATTCTTTCTTGGATTGAGGGCTATACTATACCTTTTAGTAAACAACCGATACAAACTTATCGGCCAAAGCAGATGCGATGGTCGAAAACTGAATTATCAGTAGTTAAAATTCATTTAACTAGTTTGTTATGTAATGGAGTAATTTCAAAATGTCGCCCTTCAAGGGGCCAATTTGTGTCGAACATTTTTTTAGTGCCCAAGCCTGATGGTTCACACAGACTAATCCTTAACTTAAAAGAGCTTAACCAGTACATAGAAACTCAACATTTTAAATTAGAAGACTATAGATCAGTTACTAAGTTAGTTACGGAGAATTGTTTTTTCGCATCTCTGGACTTAAAGGATGCATATCACTTAGTCCCAATTAGAGTTAAGGATAGGAAGTTTCTAAGATTTTACTTTGAGGAAGAGCTTTTTCAATTTAATTGTCTTCCTTTTGGGCTTTGCACTGCTCCTTTAGTGTTTACAAAAATATTGAAACCAGTTTTTGCCAAACATAGACTACAAAATTTTGGGTCTAATGTTTATCTAGATGATTTCTTACTTCTTGGAGACTCGTTTCGCGATTGTTTATCTAATGTTGCCACTACAAGATCTCTACTGGAAGAACTAGGGTTCATTATAAACGAGAAAAAGAGCCGATTTACACCCAGTCAGAGTATACAGTACCTAGGCCTTGTTTTTAATTCTCGCTCGATGACAGTTAGTCTTCCAGTTGAGAAGCAAAAACGTATTCTGCAAGATATCCACACTTTAGAGACTAAACTTAGTTGCAAAATTAGAACCTTCGCAAAATTCATTGGTAGGATTATTGCAGCAACGCCTGCGGTTCGTTATGCGATGCTGTACACTAAGAATTTTGAAAGGCAAAAATTCTTAGCTCTTAAAAAGTCAGGGGGGGAGTACAACAGTACTATGACAATTCCCTCCACACTGCGGCACGATTTTCTTTGGTGGAAGTCTCACATTCAGGAAAGCAGATGTATTAGACCCATAAATTACACAATGGAGATTTTTAGTGATGCATCTCTTTCGGGCTGGGGAGTAGCTTGTTCAGGTAAAAGGTCTCATGGATTCTGGACACGAATGGAAAGCAAAAATCATATCAATTTTTTGGAGTTGCAGGCAGCCTTTTTTGGTTTGAGGTGCTTTGCAGCTAATTTTAAACAAACCAATATTTTACTCAGAATAGACAATACCACTGCTATATCTTATATAAACAGAATGGGGGGTGTCCAGTATCCACATTTAAATACGTTGACTCGAGATATTTGGCAGTGGTGTGAGAAACGCGAATTATGGATTTTTGCTTCGTATATTCAATCTTCCGATTATGTTGAAGCAGATCGCGAATCAAGGCGTAAGGTTTCTGAATCTGAATACGAGTTATGTGATCTTGCCTTCCGAAAAATCTGTACCGATTTAAGACATCCAGACATAGATTTTTTCGCTTCTAGAACCAATAATAAGTGTGAACGATATTTTTCCTGGCTTAGGGACCCAGGAGCAGAAGCAGTGGATGCCTTCACTGTAAATTGGGTTGATAAAAATTTTTATGCTTTCCCTCCTTTCGCGTTAATTCTCAGAGTACTTCAGAAAATTAAGTCCGATAACGCGGAAGGGGTTTTGGTTGTTCCCTTTTGGCCTACACAACCTTGGTGGCCATTATTTAATGCATTATTAATTAAACCACCTATTTATTTCAAACCTAATCCTAACTTGTTGTTATCTGCTGATAGGACGCCACATCCGCTGCACGTAACCCTTACCCTGGTAGCAGGACTGTTATCAGGCTAGCCTTAGAAAACAAGGGAATTCCAGAGATGGCCGTGGAAGTATCCCTCGCCTCGCTGACCAAATCCTCAATAAGTCAATATAACCATGGCTTAAAATTATGGTGGGATTTCTGTGTAGGAAACAAATTCGATCCCTTTATTCTCAACTTTAACAACATTTTAAGTTTTTTAAGCGATTTGTTTAATAGAGGATTTAGTTACAGTAATCTTAATACCGTTCGGTCAGCCCTCTCGTTAATACTTTCACCAGAAGTAGGGTCTGACGCTAGAATTAAACGGTTTTTTAGAGGGGTCTTTAAGTTAAGACCATCCTCTCCCAAATACATACTTGGGATCCTACCATAGTTTTAAGCCATTTATCAACATACTACCCTAACCAGGACTTAAGTTTGGAACAACTAACACGTAAGCTTGTTACGTTACTAATACTAATAACCGCACATCGAGTGCAGACGTTGTCTCTGATCAGAGTTAAAAATATTATTTTGAACGAGGACAAAATTCAGATAAGGATTCCAGATAGAATAAAAACCTCAGGACCTAAAAGCTTCCAACCAATACTGGAAATTCCTTTCTTTCATGAAAAGCCGGCTTTATGTGTGGCAAGTACTTTACAACACTACTTGGGGAGAACAGAAACCTTAAGAACGCCGATGATTTCAAACTTGTTCATTACATTTAGAAAACCGCACAAGACCGCATCGACTCAGTCAATCAGTCGTTGGATTAAGAGTACTCTGGCTGAATGTGGTATCGACACCAAGATTTTTACTGCACATAGTACTAGACACGCTGCTACCTCCATGGCTGCAAGAAAGGGCGTCAGTCTAGACGTTATTAGAAATACAGCAGGTTGGTCTGCTTCATCACGGGTATTTGCTCAGTTTTATAATCGACCAGTGTTAGAAGAG